TCACCAGTATCCTACTAGGAACTGTAAGTACAAGCTGCCAGCGGTGGCAGAACCAACTATTTCTATTTAGGACCTCACTTTTACACTGCTTTTAATCTAGTTTTACTTTTCGCAATTTTACATATCTGTGGTGAACTATGGTAAAAAATATTGCATGGAAAATTCTAAAAATAAACTTGTAAGCTTTAAACTGCTCATTTTTCTAGGAAGCATAATGATACCTCACTCTCTCCTGCACTGTTTTAAAGAGGAAATGAATCGTCCCTCTGTCCAACATACCTATGCTGTATATGCAACCTGCCCTTTAGTCAATAAAAACCTGTCTTGGTTTTCATATCTACTATTATGCTATCACAGTGCTCATGCTCAAATAATTCATATTACACTTGTAATGGCCTTGAAATGCAAGAGTAGAGATGCCAGCAACTTTATTATAGTACATTGGTCTAATTTATTACTAAATGCTATTGCAGTCTCTTACTGCACCTAATTTATAAATTAAAATTTACAGTATACATACATGTATAAGAGAGAAACAATATGTATATTGTTTGGTATTAATACATATAATATATAGTACATATACATGCACTGGGAATTCTAAGCATAAGGCAGAGATTGTTAGTTTGGATAGAAAACAGAACTCAACCATATACTATTATAAGAAATATAATTTAATTATAAAGACACAAATAAATAGAAAATATCAGAAACAAAGGCAAACCAAAGATACACCAAACCATAACCAAAATTGCAGCCTTCTCTCAGTGCAATTTGTTTTCTATTTACAGTTTAAGGAAGATACACTGCTGTGTTAGCTTTCCGTTGCTGTGACAGAACATCTGAGATAAGCAACCTGAAGGAAGAAAGATTTATTTGGCTCAGCGTTTTAGAGATTTCAGTCCATGGTTTCTTGGCTCTGCTGCCTTGGGCCTGTGGCAGCACAGTACATCATGGCTGAACACATCACAAAGGAGGCTGCTTAACTCACAGCAGCTAAGGAGAGGGGGAGGGGGAAAAAAGGGGGAAGCTGAGAGAGAAAGAGAAACTGAGAGACAGGCAAGGTCGCCATATCCCCTTTAAGGGCATGCCCTTAATGACCTAACTTCTTTCTACCTGGCCCCATCTCCTAAAGTTTCCATCACATCCAAAAATAGTGCTGCAGGCTGCCCACCAAGCCTTCAACACACGGGCATTTGGGAGCCACTTCAGATCTGAAGTATAGCACATTCCAAATCTATTTCTATTCCTCAGAGCCTTGTGGAAGAAATTAAGATGCCTTGTACTGGTCCAAGAGGATACATAAAGACACCATGGCAGGTTTGGAGAAGTATGGCAATAGGAAGGCAATTTCTTAAGGTCTCTCTCCCCTGGGGGATGTTTCAGCCTTGTGGGTTGTAAGCTTGTCTGATAACTCCAAAGAGTTAGAAGAATGGGAACGTGGCCCCTAATGAAAGGAAATTTTGTCAAAGTTTCTGTCAACACTGAGCTCTGCTAAATATTATCTGTAGGGAGTAAAAGTAAAGAAGTAAGAGATATTGGACCAAAGATCTTCTTTATAGAAAAGACAGAACTAACAAAACCAGAAGAATCCTAAAATTTTTAAATCACCTAGTGCTTGTCAGCAATAAGCAACTGATAAAACTAGACATACAACTACAAAGGCAAAAAAAGTTGGGAAGTTTAGGACAGAATGATCAGGACGGTACATCCCAAAACCCCTACTCAATTGCTAGGCATAGGGCAGTCAGACACTACACCACTTCTGAGGTGGATTAGCATTCCTCTAAAAGAAAAGAAATAGAGAAGGAGGCAGGAAAGGAAAGAGCGAAGAAAGGAGAAAATAAGGATCTTCTTAGAATATAACATCATAAACTCTACCTTCCAAATTACAACCTATAGGGGGTTGGAGGAACATCATAAACAACTGAATGAAAACAAACAAATCCACAATGGAAATGTGCGGATTATACAGGCCAATTATTTGTCATCCTTGGTAAATAAACAGTAATAAGTAAAGGAAAGAGAAAGTAATTGCGTTAACAGAATTTTAAGAGACATATCAGCCAAATGCAATGCGTGGAGCTTTTTTAGACCCTGATTTGGAGGGGGAAAGTGCAACAGCATATTTTTAAAGCAGCAAAAAAAACTGAAATGTGGATTAGTATGAAATAATGTTAAAGAATAATTTTTATTTTGTATTTGTATTGTTCTGAAGGAGATCAGTGGTGAAGCATTTGAAGTGACCCTATGTTGGCTATGATTTGCTTTTAAACGTTCTAGCAAAAAATTTATGAAGTCATTTTGGCACTTTTTCTAATTTTTAGGACTGAAAGACAATTCCTACAATACAAGAAAAACAAGGGAAGGGAGGACTAGTGTGTCTCGGACTTTGGAGCAGGTTTTCTGAGTTCCCCATGCATAGGCACCATGAGTATACTTGACCTTCTAGTCCTCACCCTAAACAAGCCCAGACAGCTCACCTCCCGCATGCAGAGACTGGGCTCTGTTCTTTGGCTCTTAGGTTTTCTCAGCCTATAACTGTACGAGGCAAGGTCGTCAGGGTCCCATTCCAGTCTGGGAAGTATCATCCATTCCCTTCTTTGGCCTCAGTTCAAAATGCAACTTCTAGCCTAATTATCCCAGAACTCTTTACTTTGGAAAATAAAATTGACCCTCTGAATTCAATTTAGCTCAGATCTTTGTGCTTATGTTCAATCTGCAGAATCCTGGAGGGCAGAGTGCCATCTACACCCAACCTATAACTCCAGGAAGCAGGTCAGGTAATAGAATGACAGCAAGGCTGAGTCTGGGGAAGGTGCTTTGAGGGTAATGGGAAATTATGCATGCTCCTGAGCTAAGGTTAATTACGTAGTGTCATAAAAATGATAAAAATTTGAGAAAGTGGGATTAAAGGCTGGAGCCGGACCCCCTCAGAGAGCAAAATAAGAACCTTAGATACAGAGAAAATAACTGTTTCAAAAGATGATTTTTTTTAGACATAGGCAGCAAGAAAGAAAAGGACAAAAGAAACTACAGAGACAAGTCAAACTGGACAAAAAAGAGGTTGAGGGGCTCTTTTCTGCTGAGAGGAGCCTTTGACATGAAGGAACAGAGACAGAGAGAAAGGACAGGCATGTGCTCAGGGCTAGAATAACACAGCAGAGTACAAAGGCTCAACTGGAAGCACTTTAGAAAATGCCCAG